GTGCGGTTGACCTGTGCACAACCTATCGTGGAGTCTAGTGCTTTCATCCAGATGAGACACTGGGATACCTGTGGTGGAGTCGTGCGGTTGACCTGAGTGCACAACCTATCGTGGAATCTGTGTCTGTGACTGTTGCCTGTGCCAAACCTGACTGAAATCTGAGGTGCAAAGAATTTATAACAACACAGAACAAGGGAGCCAGAAATAGAGGCAAAAGTGACCTAAAGTACTAATGTAAATGTACGTATACTGTACGTTATCATGTACATTGACCCAAAAAATGTTGAGTGATCGTGAAGAGTGCCAACATCAACTCTCCTATACTACAGTTTTCATTTCTCTTGACTCTCATTTCTAATGCTCCCTCGTTGCGGTACATACACACATTTCTATCATACCTCTCGTCACAACTTGATAGGCTTTTAATACTCCATTGGGTTTTTCTGGTAGCTCCCACATTATTTTAATCTGGTTGGTCGTTTTGGCCGCGACTCGTGGACACTGAGGAGCACTGGGTACTAAAAACAATGAATTTTGAAATTTTGATTTTCCGTAAAGTTACCGTGACGTTGCCGTGTCCACGCATTGTGTTTTGCCGGCAGTGCCGGTAACGTGACATTTTACTGTTAGAGCAGTTTCGAGTGACTGTGAAAAGCTCAGTGCTGTATGCGTGCCTTGCCTTGACTGTGATGTTTTCTAGAATTTTAATTGTCTGAATTTCTTCTCGCGCAATTTGATTGGTCTGGCAGTGCCGTGACCTCAGCGTGACCGTGTCCGTGTCGGGTTCATGCCTTGTTTCGGGTATTTGATTGGATGGCATGTAATTTCTCGAACAAGGTGATTGGTCTGACATATGCCTTGCCGTGTCACTATCGTATTCGTGCCTTGAGCTTTTCACAGTCAACTGTTCTATACCAAATCCACTTTCGGAGGCTTTAGAAGGCGAGTAACGTACACTACGGTTTACAAGAAAGAAGCTTTACAAGACGTCCTCACCTGACTCAGGCGTGRTGGCAGACGCGATATTACTTCTGTGCCCGTCATCTCCCTCGGTATATGCTCTGACATAGAACGTGTAAGCAGTTACAGGAACAAGATTATTTGCTATGTAACTTGACTTGTGGCCCTCGTAGACCAGCTCTCCATCTATAGTGAAAAATCTTCTCATTAGGGACCGTTCATTTTTTACGGTCATGATTCAGGGGGGAGGGGGGCAGGTAAAAAAAGGCATTTAAGGGGGACCACCCCAAAAATAAATCGCTAAATAGAAAATTTGTATAAAAAAACTTATCCTGTTTTAATAGGAGACCACGCAAAAAAATCAGGCTGGGAAAGGGTGATACAACAATTCACAAAATCCCAGCTGAAGATATCATTTGAAGTTATTTTTAGAGCAAAGGCAGCACTTTCTACTCAGATATTTTTAAGGCCCTGAGTGTTGGTCCAGCCAAGGCTTGAACTCACGACCTCCCTCCCAATAGTCCAGTGACCAACCACCCGAACCAACCAAGAGGCTAAAAGCGGTTTAATACTGTGAACATACATACAGATACCTTGGTATAACTCGTAGATTACGTCTAGACCACTCCTGGGCTGCATGGCCTCCCAGTTTACTATAATACTGTATGCGCTTTCAACTGAAAAACAAATGGAAAAACAAATTAATCTGTTAGTAAAAAGCTTTTTGGGATTTGCTCCAGCGAAACAATTTCCTTATGGTCTTTGATCGGAATCAATCAATCAATCA